ACCTTGAAACATTAATATTTTCATGCATATAACACTATTAGCAAAGGTCAACTGTAATTGTTATAATTATGATCGTACATTAAGGCCTAACTAATGCTTTATTGCTAATATGACTAGAAGTCTCAATAAAAAAAATGCCGCCGGAGAACTTTAATAACAACCACATCATTTGCTTTTTGACAGTACTTGATACCAAAATGTAAATTTTTATGAGAAAGAAGGTAAACGAGCAGGGGTCAGAATTAATTGCTTACCGCCCATTGACACCTGAAACACCTTGGCTTACTAGTCCGCTAACGGCGTTGCGTGCGTTATATATTACTAAGACACCAATGTTTAGCGTAATCATTCTTCAATGTGTACAGAATTTTCCCTACACGTAGGAAGTTGTAGGATTTCTTTCAAACTTCCACAACTTCTTAGCTACCCATTACCACGTAAGCGTACCAAGTTTCACATATTAACATTCCGAAACATAACGAAATCGTCACGCACTGGCCACAAAGTGTGCAAACAGATGGCCGGCTGGTGTACTTCTTGAATAAAATATACGCACAGTAACTAACCAGTGTTTGTGAATATGGCGAAGTTTTGTTTTCGAATATATTTTTATGAGAAAGCTTACATTGGTATGTTTTGGCGAATGTGAGAAATAATATATTATTAATCTACCCTGTATTGCATAATACTATTTAAAAGAAACAAAAAAACTATACATATTGACACGGCGCCCTCATAAAAATTAAGCAATCTCTTCCGTAAAAATATATGAAGAAGTGCGAAATTTATTATTTAATACAAATTACAATTAATGAAACCTTTTTATTAATGAAGACAACAATTAACAAGAGAAAGAAAAGAGAGAGCATGATTAAATTTCTTACAAATTAAAATTATTTTATTTGAATCAATTAAATTTTCCCAGCTTCAAACAATTTTTTCTAAGCCCAGTCAAATGTTAAAACTTGAAATTATTTGATAATAGTTAATATGACCATTCAAACATAACTTACATTTTTGATTTACAAATCATTTACCGAAAAGATCTCGTTAGTTTCCTTAAGTGCCCCTACGAGAGGGCTGGCTAGTCGTATTGAATGACGTCATAATATACATACATAGTATATGAGTAGCAGTGTGCAGCTGAATAATACATACCACAACTGTTGCCACTAAGTGTACTGTGGTTTAAGTTGGAAGAAATTCAATTCTATTCAGTAAACTAATTAACTAACATAAAACTAAATTAATTAACGGTAAGGTTGTTAAATAAGTATTAGTTTTGTTTCTTTAGGGTCTTTGTTAAAGAAAGATAAGTTCCTCTAGTCTTTATACCAGAGTTATCATTTTAAGTCACTTAGTATTAAATAATCTCCATAAATTAGAAGAAATATGGTCGAGTCCTTGACAACATAGATGCTTTAGAATATCAGCTATTTTTTATAAAATTTATTGTATTGATATGTGGTGAATTTTTTAAAAGAGAATTATGTAAGAACAATAGCTAAGTGCAAAAGTCACTTCATTGCTGTGTTTATGTTAGAAGCTAGATGAAATGAAAAATAAAGTAGTATGATATTATCTTGCATTATTGATTAAAAAAGTGTTTTAAATTTATTATTAGCAAATTAATTAAGTATAACTGGTGTAGCCGAGCATTATTTATTGGTAAAATTATCATTTGTCGACGCGAGTAGGGTAGGGCGGGGCTAGTTGAGCAATTTTTTACTTGCTTGGATATAGCTCCTCAATGATAAGTCTCAATGAGTTGAAATGTGTCCTGATGGATTAGTAATTTATCCCTTAACAAAATTGTCCATAGTATTTTTTTGTAACAAGTCCAATATAATAGCTACAGATGTTTAAATGCAGAAAGTCAAGTATGCTCAATGTACCCCATAGGTGGGGTAAGTTGAGCAAGGGTATGGGGCAAGTTGAGCACTAAGAATGTCTGGGCCAAACCATGGGTTCTATGTTAACTTGAGATGAAGTAAAATATGTGTTAGACAGTCAGCTTTTTATTTATAGTCTTTTATTGACAGAACAACAAAACTTAAATAAATTTTCTTTGTATTATTACCCGAAACTAGAATGAACAAAGCATGAGCATCCATATCTATCCATTACTTCCGATAATTTCTAAAAAAGATTACCAAGGCTGGTGGGTTCGGGTTTTTGTATGGATAGCTACGATTTTTTTGTTTTAAAAACATCATCAACCATTATTTTCCGGCCATCTTATTTGCAATTCAGCTGGGTGTAATTTCAATGCCAAATTTAGCAGCACACTCTTAGGCAAGGCGACGGTCGTCTTTTGGAGAAAAATTCCATTTGTAGCAAGTATTTTTTCAAACAGTCCTCCTGTGAGGGAGGATATACTTCCCTCGGTGTTGTATAGCCCATAAATGAACCATCACCTTCATTTAATTTATTTAAAAGTCAACCCATACCGAATTCTTTAGCGGCGGTATTCACACTTTTTCCCTCATCGTGGACAGGCTTTGCAGCATTATTTAAGTATTCAGTAGTGTAAGAACATCTCCTCCTCTTGTAAGCATCTTAACAAAAATAAAAGATTCATTACTCATCAGTTGTTTAAGTCGTGGAGTTAGTTGAGCTATAGTTGCTCAACTTACCCCAACCCGGAATTTTAAAAGAAAAGTGGGATTGTAAAAAAATGCCTAGAATTAGACCCAAATCCTATTTACAAATCAAACATACAATAATCTTCTGGAAGATTAACACTGTCCTAATTGAAAACAGAGGACATTAGACAAAGACAGACGAAAACTTGCGATAAACAATGTTTTTACTTTTTGGTCACAAAATAAACAAAACGCCGTGACACTTCACTCACTCGTCGAGCTGCCACTAGCTATCGTGCGATGATTACCCCTCCTACGACTCCTTCTTTTCGCTATTTGATACTCCCGCGTAAGGTGAATAGTTTCCGAGATATTTCGATTGCCCAACTTGCCCCTATGCTCAACTAGCCCCGCTCTACCCTACTATATATTAATATAAAATCTACGTATAAAGAAGTTTAAAGGAGGCCTTTTCCTGTGGACGAAATGAAGAAATATAGTTGCCCGAGACTTATTACTTTTAGCTAGAAGAATATCAGTAAAAACAAATGCAATTTTGTTTCAAAGCCAATTACAACTTTGCTTAGGCGTGGAAAATGTCGATTCGTTGTAATAATTTAATTGAATGCTCAAAAACTGTGAAAATATTTTACTATTGTTACAATCATAAGTATACACATAAAACAATAACAGGAACTACGTAGAGAACCGAAACAGGAGCTTGACAAGATATAAAATAGCCAAGTGTATGAACAAAACAAATCTAATGTTCTTAAAAAAAGATATTCAGGGAATCTAGTAATTGCATAAGTATTATTATATCCTTGTATTCCATACAAAATAATATTGTTTTAAAAATATGGTAACGGCTTACGCTTGTCTTTTGAAACGTTGTTTATAAACAGTATAACGAAGTTAGTCCGGGTGCCAATTGTGGGATAGCCTTGTTTTAGAGTAATTCAACGTAAACACTATCTCTCACGAAATGAAATTTGAAATATTCAGTTAACGGATTTCTACATATAGTTAACTTCGCTTTAATCTGTAATTAAAACCGCTTCCACAGCTCAGTTTTGCAATGCGTCTAGCGTTGAATTATTAATGTATTACCACTTATTTGAATATAGATTATTAGATATATATGTTTTTATATTTATTTTGGATTATATATAAAGAAATAAATGTTATAGTATTTCTTACTTAAACCTTTTTTCTGGGATGCATACTTTTAAAATCAAAGCTGATTTAAAAATTGCGACAGTAGACAAACAGAATATACTTTGTTCGATTTTAACTTCCAATTAGTCGACCGGTTAATAGTGCGTTGTAACAATGTAAAATTAATTAAATTCTGTACAGGTTTGCCTTATTTATAGCTCTCCTTCAGAATAGGAGTTTTTGGACAAAGCAGACAATCAGAGTTAAATATTTAGAGAGTACTTATTTGTTAAATTATATTTGTCATACAAGTTATATAAAAAAATAACTGTAGTCACTACGATAAAAGTGTTTCGTAAGTAGAATAAAATTAATAAAAGCTATTCGTTCACAATTTCATGTTTTGAAGAACGCGATAAATATTGTGCATTGATTTAATAGTGAGTACAATCACGTACAAATTTGATTTATAGTTTTTATTTTATCAACTTTACGCGTGATTTATTTTTAAAGGAAAAAACATTTTCCCGTTGCTTATTGAAATCAACGTTTATTACATTGCCAATCGAGTTTTAATAGATGAACAACTATTGATTAATTGGATTTTAGAGAATTTGCAAACTTCATCAAAGTATTTTGAAGTTTGGACCATTAATTCAATGAGATATTTTTGATTTATTCCAGTCAATCGTCTAATTTTGTTTCATTTGAGGGAATAATTTTAAACAACAATGTTAGTTTCTCGTCGTTTCTGTTTTGTAGTTAGACAACCTTCAAATATGGAGTCACTCGTCCTAATCCCGGCTGGGTACCGATTTTTTTTCTTAATAAACTCTTACTCATATGCATGCAAGAAAACAAAAGAAATCGCGACGAAACAATAATATCTTAAATTCAACGTATACCAGGCAAGAAAGGTTCGTCACCTACTTGTATAACTTGATCATAGAAATGATTGATGAATTTTTTTTTAAACTTACATTCATATTTGTACATAGGTAGTTTCCTATATAAATAAATTAATTTTTATTTAAATTGATTAATGATTTAATGAGACGCATTAGAAATATAAGGATTTTAACACCTATGTATTATCTGAACGATACCTGTGACGATTCACTTATTTCTGGTTAATTAAAGTGTTGTTCAGTGTAATTAAGAATTCCGTACAATTTCCAGCTTATAAGTATGGAAGGTGATACTCCATACTGCCTGTTAATACTTGTGTATATTTATGTATATTTTTTTACGTTTCAGTGCATTTATGGATGCTACGTACACTCTGCCATTTTGCCGACATTCCACCGAAGATGTTACTGGCTATTGCAGGTAATATTAAACTCTTGTTTTTTTTGTTCATTTACATTTATTCAAATACTTACTTCTTATGATTTATCCCTATCAATATTATGTTAACGGAAATAAACAAGCGTCATAACTAATTCAGGTCTATGGTGCGTTTGTGAATTTGACCGTTATTAGTTAAGGTTCTAACATCCATAATCATTCAGTAAGTTACAGTCATTATATACGGGTTGTAACGTGCTGAGATCTCTTGCATTTACCGTAGATAATAAAATTTACTTAAGAGAAGCTTTATTTTAAAAAAGAAAAGCATGCATTAAATTATTTAGAAAAACATTAAAGCAATCTTTTGAGACACTTAAATAAGATAGTTCTTTAAAATCTTGGCTAAAATTATATTTCAAATCATAAATCTAATACATATTTAACATATTCCAAATTCAAATATTCTAATGCAAAGTTTCTTTAAAAATCTTATATAAACCTGTACTCCAGTTTAAACCAAGTTCATGTTTACTCGTGTTTAATCTGCCTTACATATCTAAAAGCCACGGCGGATCCGGCTCCGCATGTGAGAAGTTTGCGAAATTCCATTAATATTCCAGCGATTCAAGTGAAAATATATCAGAAATATTGAACTGGAAAGTCCAATTCGCGGTTCTATCAATTTCATGAGGCAGGTATCAAAGGCGCGTATTTCAAGATTTCATATCACGGTAAAAGCTTCGGTGCTGAGTCTGAAAAATTGTATCCTTTAGAGAGTTTGTCATTTTAATAGCGCGTGTTGGTACGTCTGCGAATTAGGTGATATATGTTGCGTTTTAATGTGTTCTACTTGTAATATCAATAAGTAATCATTTCTTTATTCATTACCGTCTTTGCGCTATTTGGGATTTGTAGCAAGAACGTAGCGACTACGTAGCAAAGCGACGTAAAACGTTAAAGTATAAAAAAATATTATTACGGGGTTCAAAATACTGAATTAATAAGTTTAATTTATAAAGATACATTTTTGTTATTAGTTAAAAGCAGTTCAAACAAATATTACTGTAAAAAAATAAATTTTTTGTTTATTAATTGTTAAAATTTAATTAAGTGTGAGTTGATAACAAATATCTATTTCTAACCAATAGTTCTTCTTCTAACAAATAATTTTTTCATGAAAGGTATATAGCATTCCACTCACCGTTATAAAATGGTATTTGAAAAATGCCATGAATTCAACAGTAGGTTTAGATAGCGTCCAAAATGCCTACCTGTAATTGAATATCTGATTGCGGTGCAAGGCTGCCGTAACAGGTGTCAGCGAAACTCGATATGGGACAACACTAGTTTGAATTTCATGAGTCAATAGTAAAAGTTTATTGATTCTATGAATATGTGTAGTATTTTGACTGAATTATAAGTTTATTGAAAGCAAATTAGTGTAAGTAGTGTAAGGTATCAAAATGTTTAACAAAGATATCAAAATATGTTTAATTTTATTTTTAAAGTTCATAAATACAGACAACTTTTTTACTGAAGTACTTGAATATAGGCAAATTAATTGATATATTATCTATCATAATGTATCATTTTAACTTACGAATCTGTCACGAGTCTGTCTACTCAAACTAATACAGTGACTCTAATGACTCAAAAAACTTTAATTTAGAAACATCGAGTTTAAATCGCATAATATAATATATATAACATTCAATTTTTATCTCTGTCTACAATAAACATCTTGTTTATCTGTTTATTGTTTGTCTATAAAAGTAAATCTAGATCCGGTCTCAGCCCCTCTGAAACTGTAGGACAACTTTTAAATTTACAATAATAAAACTTGGATTTTAAGGGTTGACAATTCTCGAACATATCCTCGATGTAGACTTAAATTAAAATGGGTATAATTTTAACTTATAACCGTAAAATAGATTGAACAATAAATGTAGTTAATATTTTAAAGTTATACCTTGAAAGTGGTAATTAATTTTAAAACAGTTAAAATTAAGTTTTTACATTTATTCATAAGTTTAAAAATAATCATAATAGAAAATGCTCCGACTATCATTTGGTAATAATTGTGTGAAACAGCTTAAAAATATTTTTAATTTTATTTTCCACTTGAATGAAACCTTTAAGTGGTGCTATCCGCCAACTGTTTACAACAAATTATCACGTTAACAGCGAGTTAATGAAAAACCACAATAACACCAATAAAGTGCACGTGTCGAGTGGCAACCCTGGACAACGGCCATTACATAAATAATGCCGCCATGTTTATTGCCACCATTTTGAAGACAAATGGATAGTTATTACTGCGTAGTCCATTTTACATTCTCTCCCGTTGAAAATTAAAATATTGTTTACTTTTATAGGTTTAACTGCGTGAGAGTCGCTATGGGCCCGGAGAGTATCTTTCCTTGCTCGTTATTTTGTTCCGTATAATGAATGTGGCGCCTACAATCTACACCTAACTAAACTTCGCAACGCACTCATTGCTTACATAATGACTTTAGCGTTTTGCTTTATTCATGGTCAAGGGGAAAATGGTAATGAAGCTTAAAAATAAAGTTATTAATGATCATTTTTAACAAAATTCTGAAAACTACGTGTTTTAATTCTGTGGCATAAGAATGTTATTTATATATTTTGTTAGCTTATATTAATATTTTTTTCAACATTATTACAGAATCCAGATATAGTACTAGTTCACTATCTGAATGTCCCGTACCCCGATGACAACAAGCTGGCGACGGTGGCACCAAGTTTGGCGCTGTGGGCCGACAAAAAAGAATGGACGAAAGATGAACTAGTCAGCCAGTTGAAACCTATGTGTAAGTGCTCTATCAAATTTTGTTTGATAAAATAACTTTAAAACACTCATTACACATAGAAAAGCTATTAAGATTATTAATATCATTTGTTAGTGATATAAAAATGTAATCGCCGAAAATGAGGTCCATTACAGTTCTACAAAGTATAAATTTATCGCCATTAGACTTCCCTTAAAATTTATGTGACGCACAAAAAATACGTGTAAACTTTTTTGCGGCAACTTATTACCATATTAAATGGTCTTGGCAGAGGACGAAGTTATAATCAAATAGTTGTCTCCTTGTCGACTTTCATAAATGTTAAGTACTGCAAATTAAAACGCAACAAGCTATGTTCGCCCCTCATTGCATATTTATAAAGAGAATGAGTGATAAATTAATTATAACCAATTAATTCTGATCCTCATAAATGTGGATCATTAAAACAATGTTGAAACATTTACTATGTTTATTATCGCGGCTTGAAATCATCACTATATTAATATTTTGCTACAATTTATCAGACTTATTAACTCAATGAGCTTTTATCTTTAAATCTACGTTATTACATAATTTGATATAATTAATTTTAAATTTCAGTCTTCAGCGAAGATGAACCGGATCTTAATAGCGATTTGGAAATATCAGTACGTATTTTCTGATTATTTGTTTATTTCGTGAACTCTGCATACCATCTTAAGTTTAGGGGAAAATGTTTCAGACGACGGAAACCGTGGAAGCGATTGTGGGGCAATTAATGGAAAAACAAAGAGCAGCTCGAGCAGCAGCATTGGCTAGGCAATTAGAATGTGGTTGCCCTGATTCAACTTGTCAAGATTCAAGGACATGTGCTCATCCCCTGCGTCGTATCCAGGCATCGAAACCACCAGCATCGGACCACCACGTGTCCTCTACAACTGGGCCCTCACCTCGACCTATGGCACAACCCCCACGCCAATACACAAGAGATCATAGGACTTCCACTCAGTCGTCCCCCTTGTTATTATCATTGGGACAGATACAAGGAGGTGGAGGTTTACTAATCTTGAACGGTACTAGTAATGGAGGTCAACAGCATTCTTCCTTAGTATCACCATTGTCAGTAACTTCGTTTGTTTGTGAAGAGCCAAGAGACAGATACCGTCAACAATATAAACCCACTTTTGTATTAAAAAGGGAAATTCCGGATAACCTGCCAAATACATGTATTAATAAAACAGAATCGACTTTCGAAGTAGAAACACAGGTAGAAGAGAAAGTGAATATAGAAATTTTTGATAGGAAAATAAAGATGGAACCGAGAAGTCGTGGCCACATGATCGCAAGCGCACCGGCGACGCCATCTCGATACCCAGATCTTCTAGAGCGTTTAGAGAATAAAGTGCATATAGATAACTGTGATGATACGTTAGTTTTGTTAGGAACAGATGCGCATTTAGAATCATCTAGTGGATTTTTTGACGAGACGTTAGAGTTATCGCATGAAGATATTCAAAAAACGTTGTCAGCGAATATGCCAACGTGTGAATTAGATAGAAGTGTAGTACGGTCCACGGAGACCGCTAATGTAATGGTGTCCGGTATTGATACTATGGACTTTATAGAGAGTTGTGAGGCTGTAGCGTCACCCACGCATGTGGTAGATGACAATGTATTTGTCAATTTGGATGCTTTCGACATGCTAGGCGATTTTCCTGAACTGGAAGTACTAGATCCGAGCTCAATTTCCACGAATCCTATGGTAAGTTTTATACGAAGTCTAATTAAGATAAAATAGGCATGTTATAAAATAAAAAATAATAATTATTATTATTTTAATTTTTCTCTCTTCAGTCCTTATGTGGTAATTCACCGTCTGACAACCAAGAAAAGATGCAGACTGATAGTAATAATGAGCGAGCATTAAGTATCACTGATTACTCTCCGGAATGGGCGTATCCAGAAGGTGGTGTTAAGGTACTAGTCGCGGGACCTTGGACTGAGACTTCTGATCAATACACGGTTCTGTTTGACAATTTTCCAGTACCATCAATATTGGTTCAAAATGGACTCTTGAGGTGTTATTGTCCAGGTGAGCTAATTTTTACAATAACATATCTGTAATACAGATCTAACGCTATACTATTTGTTTGGTAGGTGCTATTGTTAAATAGCTGAATGATATGGTGATTAGCACACATTTAGGATACTTATTTAACATATCTGTCTGTCGGTTATGTATCTCTTAAACGACTATTTAATTTTTTTTGTAAATTATTATCAGTCAACTCAAAGTCAGTCCAAAGATCTTGTGATTGCTTCTTGTTTCCTAAAAATTAATGGATATTTTCAGCGCATGAGGCAGGTTTAGCAGCGATGCAAGTGGCTAGAGGTGGCCGCGTAGTATCTGATACCGTTGTATTCGAGTACAAAGCTGGCCCAGCTCCCGCACCTACGTCTCCGGCATCGGCGCCGTTACCGTCGCTGGATTTTAGGCGGTTCTCATTACTGCAGCGCCTACAACGCCTACATGGGCGCTTGCAGTTGAAAACAGAGCCTATGGATGATAATAATCAGGTATTTATTATACCTGTTATGTCAATAATTAGATTTTTTTTATTTAGTGAAATAACCACTTCTTGTGTTATTAACTGTGCCGTAAGTTCTCCCGCTTCATTCGGGCGTAGCGTGATAGAGCCGTCGTCAATGTTAGCTTCTTCAATTTAAGTTTTGAACTCTATATATATAAATATAGACTTCAATATCGTCTGTAATTTAATTCAATTTGTCAAAATTTCAGGTTGAAGACGTCCAGTTGTATACGAACCCAAAATTTGAAGATCGTCTGGTCACATTTTGCCAATCGTTGAGTAATAGGTCAGCAGGTACTTCTGAGGGCTTTGCAACCGAACCAAGTGAGGAAGGATCTACAATCCTCCACTTGGCGGCAGCTTTGGGTTACACCAAGTTGACCACAGCCCTGCTTCGATGGCGGCAGGATGATAATAGCTTAGCATTAGAAAAGGAAGTTAATTTAGGAGCCAGAGACAGCGACAATAATACACCATTGGTAAGTTCTAAAATCTAGCAAGATTCAATTAGGTAAATTGTTAAAGAGAATAAAAAGTAGTATCATGTTAAATGCTAGTCAGTTTATTCGAAAAACTATATTCATAGGCTATTATCGGCTATTACTATCGAAATTGACACCTCAGTCATCCACTGAGGTATGCTATGATTTATAGATTTGTGTAGGCACTGACTTTTTGTATAGCCACTGACTAGCCAGCCCAATGCACCGATGGTGAAGGTCGAGAAGTTTTACATATCCTTAGCGGTCGGAATAATTTTGTTACTGCGTTTCATCGTAATGATATGTTGTCGAAAATTCAACTGTCGTATTTAGTTTTATTTTAAATAACAGGAAACGGGCAGGAGGCTCAGCTGATGCTACGTGATACCGCCGCCCATTGACACTTTCATTGCCTCGAATGTGCTCGCAAGTGCGTTGCCGGACCTTTTAAGAATTGGTACGCTGTTTTTTTGAGGGGACCCTAAGTCCGGTTGGTTCCGAAATACATCGGTAGGCAGCTGGTGCCACATAGTGGTGGTTTTTTATATTTCTTTTAAAACATGAGTATTTTTTGGGAAACAAATATTACGATATCTTTAAATCAATTTCAGATGGTAGCTAGTGCGGCGGGTCATACAGACACGGCAGTAGTTCTAGCTCGCTGGAGCGCAGGCACAAGGCGTGAAGCCGGCGCACGCGCAGCGGCTGCAGCCGCACATCGAGCTGGTCATACCCAACTAGCTGCGTTGCTTGATAGGATTCATCCACCTACGGGAGATGCGGTTTTTCGGAGACCTTATAGGTATATTATCTCCGTTTTAGTAGTTAAAGGCAGTTGACCTAACATAACTCGTTTCGAGTGATTTACAGACGTTAAGAAAAAGGCTGATTATAATCATTTGTAGGATTTTTATCCATCCCGAAGTGAAAGAGTCAAACATTGCATTTAAATAATATTTTTCATCTTATTTCAGTTTGTTGCAAAAAGGTCGAACGGGAAGCTTAGAAAGCAATTTAGTGAAAAGACCTTCAATTGATAGCGGCATCAACATGGCAGATGCATTTCGTTCAAACTCCGCTATTGATAGGAATGACTCTACTTCACTAAGGTGAATAATGACTAACTTTATTTATTATTCATATAGTGGCAGGTTTTCTTGTATTTAAAATTCGCCATATCTTACAGAAGTGTAATATAATCATTAATCACTGCAAGGTAAACTTGATTACAGGTGGGAGAGAAGTATGTCTTTACCCTTAGACTCTGACACTTCTGAAGATAGTCTCGGAGATATGAAGATAGGCCGTCGCATGGATCTAGCCCTCTGTAAGTGTCACATTCTTGTCTTATCATAGAAAAGTTAGTTTTCATTTGCAAACGATTATTTAGTTCATCGGCAATACGCCCTCTTCGGGTATTTCAAAATTTTTCACCTTAGTTCATAGGACGAAGGTTCAGCGTCGTCGAATCGCATTATGTAACACTAAAATATTTCACCATAGATAAAATGATGGTAACGAAGGTAGATAAATCGGTTAGAGATAAGGCTCGAGAGTCGGGTAAAGTTAGAAACAAACTAGAGGAGTGATTCGCTGGTCCCAGCCGCGCGACTGACAGTTGTCCGCCCGCGCAGGCGAGACGGCGGCCACCACGCCCAGCCCCCCTCTGCCCGCGCGCCCCTCGACGCCCCCCGCCTCGTGCGCACCCTGCCCGTCTGCCGCAGGTCAGTTCGCTCCTGCGAAGCTGTATAGACAGTCGCACTCGGGAGGGGATCAACTTGCTCACTTGAGGCTGAGCTGTTGAGTGTTCCTAGCATCACCAAAATATGACGCAATATGACAAAATATGATATACGTATATATAAATTGCATTGTAAAAATTTGTTTATGTCTCAAGGAAAAAGAAGTATCGAAATCAAAATTCATCTAGGAACACTCAATCGTGGTGCTACTTGAGATTAGCTTTCAGGTTTTACCCAATTTGGATTACCGTAAATCCAATTATAAGGAGAAATACTAAACGAAGACTGTTCTATACGGTTTCAATTTGGAGCCACCCCTCCGCTCGACTATTGATGTTGTGAATGTAGTAGTTGCATGGCCGCTCTGGCCTTCTTCTTATCAACGTTGTCTGTCTCTGTCCCTCTTGCCAGCGTAGCTCAGTCATAGCTATCGGTAGACTTGTAGTTTCTTCTGTATCTGTATCCCATATCGAGCGGAGATGTCCCGGTGTTGTTAGTAGAGACCTGTTAAGGTTGAACCGATATAATTAACTAAATATAAAACCTCATTGACGAAGTATTTTTAAGATTATTTCGTTCAATGAGCGATAATGCATGATAAATATCGGTTCGACTTGTTCGATGTTGTCCATCGATGTCGCTTTCAGTGGTTCGTAATGGTCTATTCACAGTCATTCTATATCCGAACACAACAAAACGAAGCCCTATTCAGGAACACAAGTCACCCGACAAAAGGACATGAAATACTTCACGACACTGCATGGTGGCTTGCATGAAGCGATAAACCTATATAACCGCTTTTTATGTGTAGAATTTATGCTTATATATATTTGAAAAAAAAAGGTAAGTTTGCTTTCACTGTGATTTAAGAGCACATTTTGAAGGATACTTGGTGTTGTTTATGGATGATTAGTATGGAGTTGATGTTTTATTAATATATGGTAACACTTAATTTGAACTACACCCACTTAAAAAATAAAATAACATAATATAAATAAAAACGTTTGTATTTGAAGATTCATTATCCATGCCAGTTGAAAGCTAGATCTCACTTTAGGCTCTTTGAATTGAGACGAGGTTTTATGATTTCCCTGTTTCCAATATATGATACTTTCCAGGGGAGCAGGATGACAGAGTGTTCACGTTAGCAGAACAGATAATAGCCGCAATGCCCGAAAGAATAAAGGTAAATCATCTTTCTACATAATATCTAGATAGCGTATCAATAAAAAAATATACTGCTTTTTTTCTAAGTGCAATTTAATAGATTATTTAATATCTAATACAAAATATAAAAAAAAATGTTTTTATTGATTGAAACATACATTGAATTTACACAATACAATAATGTTAGTGGAAACTCTATTTAGTCTTTTTCCCGTAAAATGTATATTTTAGAAATAGACACCAGTATCTAATCATGAAGTAAATCCCAATTGTATTATTATTTTTACGTATAAGTTTATTATTATTATATATAAGTCACGTTTAAAATTGTTTATTCTGTGTGCTTATATATTTATTTTATTTGTATAGAACGAAAGCTCTACATTGCTATCCGGCTGCGAACTGGACCACGGACCTGGCGGCGGTGATGACGCGCTCATGGTGCCCCTACTTGATGACACAACTGCGTTCCACGCCGAGTTCAACTTTGAGTTTTGTGACAACACTTACAGAACGTAAGTCACATTTACCCTTATATTTGGCTATTTTTACAATTTTTTTATAGACTAGCAGGAGCCAGGAGGCTCACCTGATGATAAGTGATACCGCGTCCATGTACACTCTCAATGCCAGAGGACTCGCGAGTGCGTTGCAAGTCTCTTAAGAATTGGTACGCTCTTTTCTTGAAGAATCCTACTTCGAATTAGTTTAATTGAATTTAAAGGCCCAAAGAAATAAAAATAGAGAAATAACGCGTTTACTCTTCTCATAAAGTCTTGGTACGTACCATGCAATCAAACGAATAAATTATAATTATCCAGATGCAAAATACGTAAATGGTAATATTATATATATTTTATCTAATAATCATTGGTTGAAGTATGAAAAGAATTTCGAAAATTGAAAATGCAACATTTACAAGAATGATTGATAGCTCCTGATTATTTATCTATTTTATGAAGTAATTATTTATTTTATTTATTGAGAAAGATTTACAGCTTATTACTAACTTACTTACTAAATACAATATTCTTTTACGCCATTAAAAAAATCTTTACAAATAGTTAAGTACTAATAATATTAACTGTATTGGTAACAATAAAATGATTTTATTCAACTAAATAAATATATATCAAAGAAAGTAATAAACTAAGTAAAAATTGGCTAAGTAACGCTAAACAGTTCAGTATAACTTATATGTACACTTATTCCACCGAAGTAAGGTTTGCCAACAGAAGTGACACTCCCACCATTTTAAATTCTAGAAAATGTAACTTTTCCTAACTAAATTAAAGATAATGATTTCAGATATTGTGGCGGATCCACTCCTTGCTCATCCGGGTCAGTTTCCCCTGGATCAGCATTATCTCCACCCCCAGCCTCACCTTTATCAGCTCTACCCTGTACCCCGTCAGCCACACTGCAGGAGTTTCTGAATACCACCACACACTTTTCGAGCCTTACTCTCAACGGTAAGTATACGACATTATATTAAAACCTTAAACTATTACAAAATAGTTAAGAGTAGATAATATTTAAGTATTTAAAATAAAATACATAGGCCAATATCAAAATTTTTTAAAAAGCTGTAAGAATAAAACAAAGAAATACAGATTACAAAACAATAACTTTGTAAAGTGTATAAATAATTAAAATAAACATTAAATTTTTCCAATATTGGTCTGGATAAAACTTGAATATTTATGGTGTTACATATATATATTAAAATACTTTTTTTTTTTTTTGATATCCGAGGTGGAAATGCATTTGCGCATCCCCTGAACAGGGGTATGTGGGACTCGACCCACGCCAAAATCTCTCCTATTCAGAGACTGGGTGAGCAATACCCACTAAAACCACCTCGAGTAGTTCCGACAAAGCCGCGTTACAGAGGCTCCGGGGTCGCTGTCGCATTCTACCGGGACCAAATATTAAAATACCCTGTTATACCGAAGGAGACATAATAATCCAAAAAGATATTATAGTACCTTTTTTTTTTAAATGTAATAGGAGGCAAACGGGCAAGAGGCTCACCTGATGGTAAGTGTACTGCCACCCATGGACACTGACAATGTCAGAAGGCTCGCAAGTGCGTTGCCGGCCTTTCAAGAATTGGTACGCTCTTTTCTTGAAGGACCCTAAGTCGAATTGGTTCTGAAATGCTTCAGTGGGCAGCTGGTTCCACATATATACATACACCTTGAGCAAATACAGTTTTAATTAGCATCATTTGCTTTCAGAGATAAATGTTATTACGGTTTAAATTTGTACTACAGATCGCGAGCAGCGGGAACTGTACTCAGCAGCCATAACCATCCAAAAGGCATACCGTCAGTACCGCGGACGACAACTGCAGCGCCGAGCAGCAGCTGCCGCCATCACTATACAGAACTGCTACCGGCGATACAAACAGGTCATTACCTTATAGACGATTATCGAATACCTTAATGAAAACATTTAATAAGTGTTACATGCAACATAGCCATGTTCAGCTTATAATCTCTATTTATTTTGCAAACTTTAGCTCATACTAAAGTTAGAAATCTTTCCATACACAGGGAAGCACGGTCTAAGTAAGTAATTATATTCAAGTAAAACTTTATGTATTTATTTAAATTATAATTAACTACTTATTCTGTTTTTGAGTCAGGGCACTGTTGGTCTAGTAGTAATCATGTCATGCCTGAGGTTGTGGTTTCGAATTACTAATACAATTTTCTTATATGTGCGATAAACACTTGCTCCTACGGTGAAGGAAAATATCGTGAGGAAGCTGACATGTCCAAAATCCATCATAGAAGTGTCATACACAAAAGACTGAACTACCTAGTTGTCTATAAAATAAAATTGATCGAAGAAACGGATGCAATCTGAGATCAAACTCATTTAGGGTTGTAGCTCCATTGACATTTCTTCTGTTTTTTTTATAATATATAGTAAAATCCTTCAATGGAGATCCCAAGGACTTAAGTACAGTATATCTTTGATACAAATATTATTTGGTCAAATAAACAAATAATATCTAATATGACCATAACCAATAAATCATTCATGACAAGCAAAAAAAATAATAAAACGAATCTTATTAATAATCGTCACGGTATTAGATAAGGTTATATAAATCATTTATAATGAAACAGTAATGTTAGTATCGTGTTTGTTTCAGTTCGCTTACCTGAAGCAAATGCACGCCGCCGCCATTGTTATTCAGCGCGGTTACCGCTCACACAGGGAGAGTCGGCAACAGGCCGCCACTGCGACAATCAAGTAAGAAGTTATGAAGTGATTTGTAGCAGATTGTAGACGTTAAATCTATTATAGCAGACCTAAAAACGTTCTTTTAACAACCTTAACCTTGTCTTGCCATATCCGGCCACGACAGTTATTACTCTTTTGACACACATGGAGATATAATCATAAAATGTGTGTTTCGTAAAGTTAAATAGAAAAATGAGGAATTATATTACATACACAAATGTGATAGTTGTCTCATTGCATTGATAAAAATAAAAAAAGCTTTTATGCTGTTTAACTTATAGGTAAATAATATTTATTTCCTAATATCTATCGGAAAACGGATGTCAGTAATTCACAAAATTTGAATTCACAGCTTGTCCTTCGATAAAGACCTTCTCTTAATTATTCCAATCTTGGCGTTCTCTAGCGTTGCGTATCCACATTGGACCCGCTACCATTTTTATATACTCCTCCCATCTTCTTATGTGCCTTCTTCCCTTTCGTTTCCCACTCCGTTGCGATCCTGTTCCATTACATTTTTGCTTCTTCTTACATACATCCACTTTTTATTTTGTTTTAATTTAATATCGAGATTTTATTTTATATAATATAATAAAATATAATATTATATTTAAGGGATATTTAAAAAAAAATCCTTAAAATAAAATAAAATTTAGTATTCCGAAGAAAATAATTGATATATCAACAGGGCATATTATGATTTATGATCTGTCAATTAAGCATTAAAACTAACTTCACAGAAAAACCTACTCACAGCGTCGTCAAAATCAAGCAGCGAGGAAAATACAACAATTTATGAGACAAACTAAGATTAAGTGAGTATTTATGCTACGTTTTTCCAAATTTAATAAAACCGATAGAACTCATTATGTAACGACGTCTTTCTTACTAATTCGTTGCTAATGAGTGACTTGTTCTAATTGATTAGAGTAGAGAGAATTACTTAGAAAACAAGTGAGGAATACCAAAACAATTTTTTACCAAAACCATACAACAAGATTTCAATAATAAAAATACGAATGAAGAATAATGAATGTCATGTTACAGAGACAGGAAAGAGTTAAGTGTTTATATGATTTGCATCTTCAACTTTAACAATTTCATTGCACGAAAAGTAACTATTGAAATATGTAAATAGTACACGTCGTATGAAAGACATTTTGTTTCACTTATATTAAACAGCAATTCGTATATGGAAGATCGGGACTTAGATAGACATGTCAAATTAAATACTTTTTGGATAGTATGGAATTAATTTTTAGCCGTTTCGACTTTGAATCTTACTTTAAGATTTAACACATTGTTCACGGGAAAACTCTTGCTGACGTTTTCTTATCTGAACGCATAGCAATTTTTAACGAACAAAAATCAATATTTCTTTACTGCCATTAAAGTAACGATAAAAACATTGTTGTAATATATATTTTTTTTGATATGAAACACGCATGCCGTGGCGACGCGTCGCCACGCTATATATATATATATACAGTCTATGTGCAGTAGTGTGTACGGTGTGTGTATTTCGAAGTCACTGATTAAACGAATTAAGTAATCACGATTTGAAATTAAATTGTATTTAATGAAAATAAATGTTTATTCAATAAATAGTCATCGTTATCTGGAAAAAAATCGTAATATTTTATTTTATAATTATTACATATTTAGTTCCTATCACAATGTTCTTTTCTGCAAATTACTTTGACAAAATAATGTCGATGTTTCACATCTGCCAGGCGTCCCGTGACGGCTCATTTTTTTATTTATTAAATATATTTTAAATGTGTACGAATCACGATTGTGTACGAATGGAATTTTCATTCTATGTGCGCAATTAGTTCCTACCGTGAAGGCTACACACGCGCTACTTGCCTAAATAAAAATGATCAAAGGAACGGATGCAATCTGAAGCCAAGACCGATATAGTTTAAAAGTAGTAGTTTTTAGTTAGTAGTTCTAGTGCCTTTGAATAATTATTATTTACAAAACGTTTCATATATTAGGTATATCTCCCCCAAGCAATGAACTCTAGTATTTAATACCTGAATATTTTAATTAACACGTTTTCCATTATTAAAATAACGCCCTAACATTTTACTATTATACAACCTTTTCTGTTATTGCCTTTGATTTAGAAAGTTCCGAAATTCCCTATAGACCAAAATTGTTTACGGAAAACTAATATCATATCATACTTATGCTCTAAAATCCCTCGGAATTGACTAAGGATTAAATGTATGAAAACTAATATTCCTTTGTGTCTCTGTAAAGGGAGAATTGCTTTTATTATTGCCGAGACCCAAAGTGACGGTTTAAAGCCATTGTTCGGAAAAGGGGCTTTTCGATAGGCGTGACCCCAAACGAATTAGTATAAAAATGGTCACATGACAAAGCGTGAGCTACTGTGATTTACATACAAATAATAAGTAATCCACATCAACCAAATGATAATATATATGACGGAGTGAGAGAGGGGAAAACACTAAAGAGCGAGGAGTCACATAAAGGAGGAACGAGGGCAGCACCTAAATAATGGTGCAGGAAGGACAAGAGCCGCACCAACCAGTGCCTGTATTTATATGTTAGCAACCCGAATTTGTGACAAAGAAGTTTCGTGAGAATTCGGAACTCATTCCGCGATAGAAACGGAATCGACTACAGAGTCAAACGGCAGTCGTAGAAACGTTTATAAATTGATTTCTTAGATATTAATTGACTTTAAGTTTAAAAGGTTTAAAGTTATATTAATTTTCTTTTTATATTAAAAGTGACTATGAGACGCTATTGAATAATAGTCGTTAATTTATAGATCTAACATTGACAAAATAAACCACTTTAACTGCTTTAAACTAATTTGAGTTTGATGTTATTAAATTATAATGACAATGGCAGCTGACACTAACGCCATTGCTCCGACATTAATAATAATCTATGAAACTACTATTACTATAGACTATCCAAAAGTCGTTAATTTGTAGCTATTAATATTGTCAAATCGATTAGACTTTGAAGTTGTTAATTTACGAGGTGTGTGACATATAATGACAAAAGCCATTGCTCTGATATATATTTTTTTTATGAATTCAAAGTAAATTATAAACACAGCAGTAATTCTACAATATATAGGTATTAAGTTGTTTAACTCAGTAGAGCAGTGTTAGCCTAGTGGCTTCAGCGACTTTCACCCCTTTCGAACCCCGGCTATGCACCAATGGACTTTTTTGGTGAAGGAGAACATCGCGAGGAAACTGGCATGCCATAGAACCAAACGGTATGTCAGGCACAGAAAGCTAATCACTTACTTGCCTATTTAAAAAAACCAATGATCAGGAAGAAGATACAGAAATCTGCATGAAGTGTGTGTGCGTTTTTATTTTATATATTGAAACTGCCGTATAAAGGCAAGCCAGAATAAAAAAAAGTCATTCTGATTTATCTCTTTTCAACATATTACAAAGATAATTTGACAGAAAGAGACGACAAGTAACATTTTGGTTGTGTAATTAGACAAATTTAGTTGAACGGTGATGCCTTCCGGCGAGCCCTATAAACGAAGAACATTTCTAAACCCGTATTTAAGTTATTAATTAGTTGTTAACTTATACAACATAATTATTATTAACACAGATATAAGTGAGACACAAAACAAAGTACAAGTAACACATCTGAAAGTTGACAGTGATGGTTATATTATGATATAAAGCGCCATTTTAAATCACTTTTCGACGAGATTGTATAGCTTAACACAGGCACAGTCCATGTACAACTTTTGGAGCTACGAATAATATTTTTAACTTTATAAATCGTGTTCTCTTAGTTTAGTTAGGGTTTGACTTAAAATTAGCTTTTGCTTATTTTATTTTATATTATAGTTAGTAATCATTGTATTTTTTCCATTGTACTTGTATACAATTTTATTTTTATTAATTTCTTCCAATTTCCCTTAGCATTTCTTTTTTATTTTTCCTCATTAGGTTTTACAGGAAGAGATCGCTTGTTGGCGATAAGGCCACCCGTTGCCTTCCTAATAATTTATGTTATCTGTCTTAATCTGTACTGCTAATGTAACGAAATTTGAATAATAAAAAAATATTTAGATGCCTATGATTAGCGGAAAAGGAACTAAGTTATATATGATATTGTAATGATAATAGTCATACCGAATACATTTCCATGATATATTTATAACCTACTGCCGGCATTGTTCTGTGCCATAATCCAATATCTGAAATAATTTCAACAGCCGGCCGTGTTTTATTCGGTTTTGGAGTTTCTCTTTGTACTTAATCCCTTTTAGTTTACTTAAGGTCTTAATTAAAACTTTTTGCTCTCGGCCTCTTAATGATTTCATATTTATTTATTAATGTATTCATGTGAACTTTATAACTCGTTTACTAATTGAATTCCGAATAACTCATTTGAAAATTGAACCCGACTGCCTAACATATACATAGGATTATATTCACGCCAATTTAGGAGAAAATATAACGATTTACAGAACTGTAGAAATATATATATATAACAATTGTTAATTTAAATTCTGTTAACAATTGGGGTTTAAATGCGAATTAAACATACATAATTTAAAAAAAAAATCGCCAAAAGCCTCTCTATGTAAGATGGAGTCGTGCCAGTAACATGACAGTAAACATGTAAACAATTTTTTTTTTAAAGGAATCTCGCTGTTGGCCTTAAGGGCTGCTCAGGTCTGGCTGTTTTGGCGAGCGTAGCTCGGCCATGTAAACAAATGTCAAGTGTTTTGCGTGTTGTCATTTTTAAATGACACTAATATACATATTTTATGTGAATCATAAAACTTAAATTCAGAGAGACATAAAGACATATTATTTACTGGCATGGTTGGTCATCGTCGATTGGACTAATCTGTGACCGTTTTATGTCACGTGGCAGTAGTATAAAAATCAATATTTGCATTTTTAATCAATGATTATTATACTTATAATAATCATACTTATAATAATCAATAACTTTATTTTACCCTATAACGCAAAAGCCTTTTCTATACAGATTAATCTTAATAACACTTTATTTTTCATACTGTTAAATAGCCCTTTGAAGCCGATTAAATCTGTTGATTGTCTTTTAACTGTTTAATTGACGTAATGTTTTGTTCAGGTATTTATTTTACTATTCAAGATAAATATATATTTGTATTATACCAGGTACTGCGTAGCGGAAACGAACTACAACAATTTAAATGACCTTTTTAATTGTAATCTGAATATATAATGTGTATATTTTTATCTTTACTGTGGATGAACTAGTGGAAAGAAAACAATATAGTTTTTGTCAACAAAATTTTTACGCTGAGTCGAATAACAGTTTTTGGACTCACTATACTCTGTCTAGTAAAGGCTAATAAGTAGAATAAACTAAGCAACATTTTTTTTAACTTCTTGCTTACCAGTACTTGGGAGGAGTTTACAACAAATGTAAGTAATTAAAAAAAAGGTATATTGTAGATTTGTATTGCGTTCTTGGCAAGAAAGACAAATACTTCGTAAACAAACCTTGCCATGTCTTTTTATACAGAAATAAAATATCATTATGGTTTAGTAATAACTTAAAACATTTGGCTTTTGTTTTATCATTAAAATAATTATTAAATAATTTAAATCTTAAATCTGCTATTTGCGGCAGATTGCAGAGAGAGCGAGCCGCAAGCGCGAGGGCGGACCGGCTGCTGCAGGATGCCCGCCGAAACTCGTTGCAGCCCATCACCAGTACACCTCACACGCCTAATAGGTATAGAATAATAAAGTTCATTTTTACGATAGGGAGAATAGACTCCCTTGCAGTTTGGCTTCTCAGCCACGGTCAGATCGAGTGGTAGGCTTAAAGATCTAAAATAAAAATAGGTATAGAAGTCGATCGCGATTGTTACCTTTTATTAGGAATAAATCCGCTTCACATGTTTTGTAAGAGACTTGACAAAAAAGTTGAAGAAGTGCAGAAATATTTAATCGGAATATATTTAGCAAGCAGGCATACATCCCGGGGAATGCAGAAAGTTGTGCATTTTATACAATTGTATAATGTTCTCCTACGAAGCTTAAGAAAGATTTTGTTTCAGGATCATTGATTACTTAGCGCCCGAATCACCTATGAACGCCGATGATGATTTACTGATCGAGCTTTTATTTAAAATGTGACCTGACACTGCTGCAATTATTTACCGAAGATAATTATACCAACGACGTCTGAAGTTATATGAACAAGTAGGCGCTTAATGGTTCTTATTTAAGGCAAAATTATTGTTTGTTTACGATTCACGAATGTTTATATTTCTAGAGACTTCGGGTTGCTAACTCGTCTTTAATATATTAAAATGTTCGTTGTAGTACCATTTCCTCGAATTTGATTTCTGTAGTACATTCCAGATCTATTGTTTATTGATTATCATCTACACCTATTCACTTTTTTACGCTATAGTTTAGTCTATCGGGTTTTTTAAAATTAACATTGTTTTCTTCTGTTTTTCGTTGGAACTTCAGGTCATAGACAGGGTTATATTTAGTATAAATTTTATCGTATTTGTATTATATTTTCATAATATATTTTTGAGAAATTTGTTTAGAACATTTATTGGAATTATATTTTTGAAACTAAATTGGATGTAAAATAATTCTCCTAGAACGCCGATGAGATAAAGTGTTTTAAAATTCTTAAATACTTTCTGTGCCATTGGAGTGAATTAAACGTATTTGATTTCGTTTTCAATTTCGACATTGTAATTTTACGTGAACTTTTCGGAATTACTTTGTTTTATTGATTTCCACGGTGAAGTTAGAGAGTAGGTTAAGTACAAATTCAAATTATTAAAAGCCACTGTTCTTATAAAGTAGATGCACCTAGCGTATAATACAATAAACCCGACGAGCTGTGAGTATTTTGAGATTTTATCGTATTTAAGAAAAAAAAAGTTAGTTTTACTATTGGTCTAACGTTTACCGTGAAGGTTTCATTCCAGCCTAATAGGTTAATTCTCTAGTCGACGCAGCGAAGCACATAGCGGTAATGGGTACTCCCGCGCCGAACGACGCGTTCCATAGACTACACGTTATTCTTTATATTGTTTCATATTGTTTTATATTTAGAATGTTAACTTCTCTTAAAGATTTCAATATCATATAATTCCAAATTTCGATTCCCCACCCCTAGTTCCTACTTCAACTATTAAATATCTTACTATCTATATAAATCGATTAGTTTATTAGAATATAGTAAACTTTGTTTTAGATTCCTTAATAAAGCTAAATGCCATACTAATCTAGCGTTCATGAAAAAAATAAGGTTGTGCACCACTTAATTATAGAAATAACTACCTAATTATTCCCTTTTTCTGAATTTTCTTGATATTTTAACGTAGCAATATAGATTTAGACTAAGAGTTAGAAGTAATAATAGCTTACCATAAGACGACGTGCTGCCGTCGAGATATTTTCGATTCGTATTTTTATAAAGCAAAGTTACGAATGACTAAGGTTGCTTTGCTTGCAGGGCCGTGGATTAGACTTTTAATTTAAGTTGTCTATTCGTTTATACTTCATGAGAAATGTTAGGAAAATTAAGCAGTCTTAAAACTTTGGATTGAATCTTTGATGTAAACGTTCTGAATACATTTGTATACTTTTTATGTCTTGCATCCCTTTCGAAGGTTGGCCCAGAATAGTCGGAAGAGGATTTTCTATTATTAACGATTTCCATTGCTGGTATCGTTATAAAGTTTAATAGGAGTTTTTGCTAACATTTTTTGGAAATTGTTCTTTCATCTTTGAAATTTCGAATAAGATAAGGAAGATATAGATATAGGAAGAGCTGGAAATCATTAATAATAATAGCAATTGTTAGTTGAAATTTGTGTAAAACGACGAAGTTCGAGAATAACCGTCCAATTGTGGCGGCTTTTGCACCCTCTGGTGACGCGACAAAGTACACGCGAATACGACCTTTATTAATAGTGTCAACAGTGACCAGATTCACTGGACCTGGGGTACCTGAGGGCGCGCGAATGTAACATGTACATTTTATATTTTTGGATTGCTAATTTTAAGATGCTATATTTATATATGTATACGTAGACGGCGAGTACGTAATCAGTATTTCGAGTTGTATCGCCAAAAGTTCTCGACCCATCGGTTTCTCATTTATTTCTGTTAAAGACAATAGTTCATTTAGCTAGTGGTCATGTATATATTTTTGGATAGCGTGCACGTTGCTTCCGGAACGCCAATGATATATTTTAAAGAGAAGGAAGTAGTTAAGTCGTATACAATATTTTTAACAATAAGCGAGATAACTGAAAGCAATAATATTTTTGTGGTAAAAATTACTCCGATTTATAGAAGGAGAGTATTTTATTATCCACGCAATCGTCACAAACAGTTCAATACATAGATTGCTTTTTAGTGCTGTCGTAACTTTTGCTCCATGAATTTATAAAATTGAATCATATTATATAGTTCAATTATAATTCAAATGTTTTTAGTATGTAGACTTATAAGAGCTGGAGTTTCCAACAAATAATGCATAATTTCAACTTCAAATTTAGTAAGCTATTATTATATATTTAGGGTTTCATATTTAAATATAAGTTTATGAAATAATACAAAATTTAGGAGCATTGGTTACGAACCGCTCTTAGTTAATGACCACAGCTAAAAATAGTGCACTAGACGTAGAAATAGTTAGAGAAATACTTATAGAAATGAAAATTAAAAAAATGGAAAAAATCTTGAAATCTATACATAGAATTTAAATTTAAAAAATTTAACTACTTTTTATTATTATATTAATAAGAAGCTTGTTCACACATTTTAAATCGTATTTAGTAATAGCTAAGTATAATAGAAATGTAATAAAGGACATGGATTGAATGCTAGTGAGATTATTGTTCAGTTTTAATTAATTTTGGCTACTATTAATGTTAAATCGGTCTGAATTTTGAGTATTTTTACTGAATTTTGCTTTTAGGATTTAATACGTGAAAATTCTCAAAATTTATTACTAAATGCGCCAAAGGCGAATAATTTCAACGAATGTGATAAAATTGCAAAAACAATTATGTTGTGTGAGAGTTAGGTTTTTAATTGTTGTTTTTTGTAGATACGGTGCGGGTATTGTTGATTTTTGTATAGTTTTAGTTTGGTCGTGTATGACAGGTTGATATTTTGTGCAGAATATTGGTTTATTATTTTTAAGGTTATGTGTTATAAAAACATTTTTAAAATAATATTATTTGTTATGCAATCCTAAAGTGTAATTACCCGTTTAATTTATAAAGGTTTTTTCTTAAATGCAAGCATGAATGTTGAGATAGATTCATTACCAAAAGGGTTTTCTATGCCGTATAAACGATTATATAATCTCTGAAAATTTAATCTTAATTACTCGGTTCACCCATTAAATAATGGATTCGAATGTTTCGTAAGCAATAATATAGACTTAGTTAATTTAACGACGATTCATATAAGATGTACAACGAAGGAAAGATAATTGGCATGATTGTAAAAGTACTTTCAAAGGTATTTTTGTTGTCAAGAAGAAACCCACGGAGATATTGGGGACATAGGGCGATTACGGTTAAGTGTGACGCTGGCACGAGTAAAAAATTAGCTAAACTTTTATTTTGGACATTATATCAGTCTGCTTTAGCCTGCCTACTATAATATTGCATATCATAGATATTGTGCGGTTAATTTCAAACTTGTAGGTTATTTTCACGTATCGCTAGAAATAGGTCATCATTTAGTTGAACATCAAATTGAGTTTATGCTTTGTTGCTTGTAATGTTTAGCATTACTTTAATAGCGAATTTATGAAGTTTTTTATGTATATAAAAATTGTATGCATTGTAATCATTGTTATTAAGTTTCAATATTATAGAAGAGTGTAAAAATTGTTATGTACTGCCAGTATTTAACACCAAATGGGGAAGGATGAACGGTGTAAAGTATCCAGTTCAGTCAAAAATACATATGCAGACATAAAGAATTATGTATGTACAATTTTATTTCTGTATTTTGTTTATGTGACAACTTGATTAACCGTTAAATAGGTTTTATTTAATTTTGAATGATACGTTATTTTCCTTACGGGAGTATTTTTGTTTCATATATTGTTTATTATAAACGTAAATTAATGTTTTAGTATTGCCATGTTTAATTATTTATTAACTAGAAAATGTATGCGGATTATAAGTTTATAACTTTATATTTATGTCTGAATAGGAACACGACGTTTTTGTTGTAAAATAAATTTGGAAAAATTTAATAATTTTTCCCTGTATTTATCTATATAATAGCAAACAACGTAAGGGACTGGATACTGTGTATTTTGAAATGAAAAATAATCTTCCTTTGTAATTATTATAATCTATAAACACTACAAAATTGTGATTCAAAGCAATTTAAATAATACTGCTGATTAAATTTCGTTGTTTTATTCCACACCTTTCAATGCAATATTTTTACGCTACGCTAAATTACGTACGTAAAAAACCTACTAAAATAAAATTTCCATGCCAATACTAATGTAATAAATATGAGTTTCCTGTTTATCTGGTAATTTTTATCACACGCCACACTGTTATTTTAAAGTAACGAATAGCTGAATAGGTCTTTAAGATTAATTATAATGTTCATTCATATCACAAAAAAATTCACATTGAATTGTAAACCTACTTTGGTTTTTGCTTAAAATTTAGACTCAACAATTAAATCATCGATGGTGTGGCTTGCTTGCTATTAGCGACGCTGTTAAACAAGCGTAGCAATGTTTAGTTTTTCAAAAGGATTCATTCGAAATTTAAAGGCTGATTCAAGAAGACTAAGTATACAGTTTAAAATGTTTATTATAGTATAAAGCTAAGTTCAAATAATCAGGGCTTTGGAGGCTGAACAGGAGATATCCTGAAGGGCGGCTGCATCGTGTAGGGGAGTCTTATAAGTTTATCTGTGAACTGTATGTCTCCAGTAATGCCGTAGTGTACATGTCGTGGACCATAATTTTGATGGGCGATGAAAGGTGAAACATTTTGCATCAAGGAGCTCGTGGCTCTCGCTTCAGATGTTGAGGGCTTCACAAAATATTTTTCATGGTTGTCTAACCACTTTTGAACCTGAGAAAAAAAGAAATGCTAAGTTTTATATGACGCATTATAATGTTTCACCTGAAAGTCATGACGTTCGTGACAAATGTTTCCGTTATGATCCTACAAATCTGAATACCAACTGGATTGTTATAACTAAAATGAGCCAGCAAGTAAAATAGATATTTATGAAACTTACGGATTTGCAGCGGCAATTGGAAGCTGTATCTTGTGCGCAATTCATTTTCAGATTGAATAATTACACAGTTTTTATAAGAAGTATCCAGTATCGAATGTCGTACTTAAATGATAAAAGATTTTATAAGTATCACTTTATATAGAAGTATAACATCTCATTTGATAATTACCTCATTAAAGATAGTTCAATTAATTTGTTATGTATTGTAAGTGTTTTTATTAAAGGATTGGTGTCATTAAGTACCCCGTAAATAGTTTAATTAGTAAATGAGATAATAATAAACAATTTTACTTTTTTAGTAGTAGTATTTAATTGTTTTAAAATAATGTGTTTAATAGTTGTTATACCTTTACAAGCAAGCAATAAAAATATAATTATAAAGAGAGTACAACCATTGAATGAATGAAATTCTAATAAAATATAAAAATGCTTGTTTAAAAAGCCTCAGTATGTGTGTAAAGGCTTATATGAACTCTATACAAACGCACAAACCTTAAAATCCATTTTTAGGTACCCAATAGTTGGTCACTAGAAATAAAACGCTTTTCAAACAAGGACAATTTGAAGAAATGAGAACCTTATTATAAGGGTCGCTTTAATTCTCAAAGTAGGTTTGCCTTTACGAATTGGAAATATAAAATCATATCAAAAGCCATGGCGAAAGTAGCCTGCCCTTTGCCTGTGTTATCGTTTCATTTGGTGCAAGTTAAAAGTTCACAATTTTCCAATTTTCCTATCTTATAAGGAAAATTGGTTAATTGTGAGACTTTTAAGTGTTCCGTGGATAAGTTCAAACCACGGCTGGTCAATCAGAAATTTTATTTTGTATGTAATTCAGACTTAAGCCTGAACGCTTATTAAGGTTAAAGACACTTAATAATAACTTACCTATATGGTACATACACATATCAACATACGTACACATATCAACATAATAGATAAAGTATTTGAAAGTAAAATAGAAATTAATTGCAGGACCTCAAACCCTTCCTTAATTATTAATTATTCCTTAAATATTTTTAAAAAGGTGACTCGTGTTATGCATGTGTGTTTTGTTTGGTACTTTCGAAAAATTACGATGAAATCGCAGTCACTCATCTCTTACAAGGCACAAAGGCTATCAAGCGAAAAATTCGAGCGACCCTTTTCAACGGACTATTAAAACAAGAGCCTTATGCATATGGGACTCAATATTTAGAAATGTACTCGGGCTGAAAATCAGGATTACCTCTCGCATATTTTGTTTCAGGATTTCACTTTTTTAAGTGATTAATCAGTGTTAGTAACTCTGATAAATGTACAACGGTAATGTTGCAGGAGTTATATTTTTTAAACAAATTTATATTATTGTTGATACTTAGTATAAAAGCGCAACCACTCTGTAACATCCTTTATCAGTTTTATATTTTAGTCGAAGATTTCGGTCTAATCTTAAATATATATATTATATATTTTGCTTTAGGAGTAGATATGATAGGAATAATCAAATAATTTCGGATAAAGATTTACACAAATAATTTTCATTTTTTGGTGACATACACCATCAGTTTCTGTACTGAATAAAAAAACATTTTTTTAAACAACCCGAAAACATTTACATGAAATGAAAGTTTAACATAATATAATATAGTGTTTGGCATTTAGGGCCATCCCTTATAATAAAACGTCCTGATCTATATATTCTGAAATAGTCAGACTATCCATATATACCCTCACAAATCGTATAAAAAATATGCTAGCCGATTTAGATTTTGATTATGCCGAGGCCTTACTACTATATATTATATTTTGGTATAACACCGTAACTCCAAAACGTAACACACACAATAGACAGATCGCACGATTATAACAAATCTTAGCCACACTCAAATACAGAATGTGTTATACGCACATTCTGTATTTGAGTGTGGCTCATTTACATACATACTCATTCATTCACGCATACGTCTTACTCGACTTTTATTTGATTAGATGTAACACTAAGACTTCTAAGAACTCTTACTTATGTCATGAATAAAGTTTTATTATTATTATTATAATATTTTCCTTCTTCACGCAATTCATTCGTAAAGATCGTGTTGGTGACGCCGCACAATCTCCTCCACTCATACTTGATCGGTAAATAGTGTACTATAGTCGAATAAAATGAAAAAAACCTTCTCGAACTTTCAGCTAAAGTGGGTTTTGTGTGACACTATTATTTAGTATATAAATCGTACTTGTAACTATCGGTCTACGAGTTTCCATGGTCCGTATAAAAGCTTTCTATTTGAATAGAAGCGATTACTTTTCTTAGAAATATTTCCACCGAGCGTCGTAGGCTTTGCTCTGCATAATATAGGACAATCAGGCATCATTACTGCAAGTCTTCGGAAGCTGGTTGTACGACCCGTTGTTATGGTAACCGCACGTTTTGCTAGCTTTGTGGTGCACAATAGAAGATACCGCGATTTATTTGTGCAATGTAACATTTCTTACATTGTGGAAAGCCGGTGTTTTTAAATTTAAATACTCGACACGTTTGTTCTCTTTAAAATAACCGGTTCAAGTAATCCTTTACATTAAACAAAGCAACTAGCTTTAATTTAAGAGTATCTTGTTTTATATTTTACTAAGCGCGTAAATGCACGGTATTTTTTGATTTTTATGTATAAAAAATTATGTAAAATGATATAGTTCGACTTACATAAAGGACAATAATTAGCATGATTACATATAATAGAGAACATAATATATATATATATATATATATATATATATATATATGTGTACAAGGGGTCTTACGTATTGTATGGACCATAAAAGATTTTCATTTAGAAACTAAATTACTTAATAGGTAAAAGTCATATACAAATATAATATTATATATTGATGCAATTTATCTAGTAACAATTCAAAGAAATAAATCTATTGCATCGGAGTCCTTACGCTAAGCCTTAAAAACTCTATTTCCCGCTAAACCATTTCATTGAAACTGGCAGGTTATAAGAGGATTTTATATTTTATCTGCACCCTACATTATCTTATCACGTATGCATAGGGTTGAAATTTGAACGGATGAATTTCTATTCACGTTGTATAAGCGCGAATGATGTAGCGTATTGGATGGAATAGATTATCCTGTTCTGTGATGTAGGTCATTTACTTCAATGTTATTTTTACGTATCGTATGCACAAAGTTTTCTAATTCAAAGTGTTATTTGAAAGAACAGTTATTTTGGAAAAACTGACTAGGTCTTAATAATTGATAATATTTGCATCAATGCAAAGTGAATTTTATACAGCTTGAACCGAATTATTCATAAACGTTGTTAAAATATATTGTACTATTACGAATTATATTCAAACGATGCATTTCTGTTCTTCCAATTTTAAACAATTCTATTACGACAGCAATTCGATTTTACGTGTAATTATTATACGAGTTTGTAGCATTCTTAAATCTTAAAAAATTATACATTTTCTATATTATATACTAACAAATGCTGAGATGGAATGAGCTGTATATTCGAATAATATTCTGTCATTTCCGCAAAGTTTCTAATCTAATTCAATGTTTGTTTCTCGCTTCCTCTACACAAACATAGTTACGTATGTTTTCCACGCTCAATTTGCGATCCAGGCAATTTTATAGACCGGGAGCCGACTCCCGAATCGATATACTTAATGAGGCGTAGACAGGAGTTTTTTATATTAACTGCAATTTTGTACAGGAAAATAGTACATTTCGACTTTTTGTAAGGAATTTCTGTTTTTTATGTTTATAGAAAATAACGAATAACACTTGATGGCTCATTCCATGCAGCTATGTGTTTTTATTAGAACATTTTAAAAGGTTTTAGGTTAAATTTAAGAAAATATTATTTCTTAAAAATAGTTAATTTATTATTTCAATATCTTACATGAACGCTGTCATATGCATTAGCACCAACTTAATGATAGTATCGTAAAGTATTTGTATACGTCGTTCAGTTAAAGCGATAAATTCAGTTTTTCAACTCGACCCTTTTAATTTTTAGTATGGTTTAATTAATTACATAATATATTCTATTCGAACAATGTATATTTTGCTTTTTTTAGTTCTTAATACGCCTATCGAGTACTACTTATGTTTTCAATAGAAATCGTTACTTTTCTATTTCGATATTTTTTTTTTTTATATGATAGGGGGCAAACGAGCTTGCGGGACGACCAAAAAGGGCAGTCTACGCAGCCCATTGACACCCACTTTTAGTGGGTGCGTTGCCGGCCTTTGAGGGAGGAGTAGACTCGCTTTTTAAACATTTGGAGGTCGTATCTCTGAGGGAAGACCCCCCCGGGAGCCGATTCCACAGTTCGCTACTTCGCAAAAGAAAATGCCTTGTGAAACGGACTGTGGAAGACCTCCAACCATCAAGATGATGCTGGTGAAATTTAGAGGTCGTTCGGCTCGTACGGTGTTGAAAGGAGGCAGGAGGGATCAATCCCAACAATTCTTCCGAACACTCTCCGTAATAAACTCTGTAAAAAACGCAAAGAGACGCAATGTCTCTGCGTAGCGAGAGAGAATCAAGCCGATCAGTAAGATATTGAAGATTGACAATTCGACAAGCCCTTCGCTGAATTTGGTCAAAAGGAAGAAGCTGATATTTGGGAGCACCGGCCCAGAGATGCGAGCAGTATTCCATATGAGGTCGTACTTGAGCTTTGTAGAGCTGCATACGTTGCACCTCAGTGAAATACTGCTTAGCCCTACCCAAAACACCCAGCTTTTTGGAAGACAGTTTGGCTTTTTCTTCCAGATGACTGCGAAATTGGACTTCTTTCGAAATGCCAACCCCAAGGATACTGAGGCTGTGTGACGAACTAAGGAGAGCGCCTTCAAATTGAGGAGACACGACAAAAAGATCTTTCTTGGCAGAAAACGAACAAACCTGCGTCTTTGTAGCATTAAACTGAACAAGGTTGTTACTACCCCACACAGAAACCTTCTCCAGAATCGACTCAATTTCGAGAACAAGTATGTTACGGCTCTCATCGACTTCAGATCGAGACATGTTCGGATG